GCTAAGAAACTGTGTATTTTCCTATAGGAAACAGTTCCAGGAAATACACTTTGTTGGAGAACAAATCTAGAATAATATTCAACAGCACAGAGCACACACGTCTACTTAGGAAAACACTGCCTTTTTCAAGATATTGTTCAGTTCAAAACATATTACTTCCATACTTTATGTATTTTAGGTCATTTTATCATGAAAAATCATTTAAAAATCTACTAGTTGAAGACTCATTCCCAAATAAAATCATGTTACTTGTACTAACTTTAATATCTATACAATAGTGCTAGAAATACAACATAATAAAAAAGAGGTTAATTTAGGTAAGGGGTCTGTATTAATCTGTTCTCACACTGCTTATAAAGACATACCTGAGACTGAGTAATTTATAAAGGAAGGAGGTTTATTGGACTTACAGTTCCACATGGCTGCAGCGGCCTCACAATCATGGCAGAAGGCAAAGGAGGAGCAAAGTCACACCTTGCATGGTGGCAGGCAAGAGAGAGCATGTGCAGGGAAATTCCCCTTTATAAAACCATCGGATCTCATAAGACTAATTCACTATTACAAGAACAGCATAGGGAAAACCTGCCCTCATGATTCAATCACCTCCCACCAGTTCCATCCCATGACAGTGGGAATTATGGTAAAATTCAAGATTTGGGTGGGGACACAGCCAAAGCATATCAGGATCTTAAATAGCACCACTTTTGGAAAATGTGCTCAAGGTACCCCCTCCCTTCTGTCAGGCTCGTAAGCATACAATTTCTTTACAGGAACCTCACATACTCTTGAAATTGAGGACAGTGCCTCATCCTCTTGTCTCCACCACAGAGGGAAGTGATTGGGTCCTGGCTGTTAGTCTTGAGATGCTTTGACCAAAAGCAGGGATCTGGATCAGAGCCCCTTCCATTTGCATGCCGCAGGAGGGCTCTCTGCACTCCTCCCTTCACTAGTGCCTTGTAGGGAGCAGCGCTGTGACAAAACATTCCACCTTCCCCTCCTCCTCTCTGAACATAACGTTCTGCTTCCAGTCTGCTCTCTCGTAATGGAAATTGGGGTACACAGCTTTCTCGTTCCTTTCCACCAACATCACATCAGCTATAAATGTTTAATTTTTCCTAATGGTCATTCACCCTTCCTCAGTTGGGTAGCTTTGAAAAATTCATTTTGTAAGAAAGACAATTCAACCAGGAGACAAGCTCTCCTCCAAATGACAGAAGCAAATAGTTTTGAGACAGAAAAATGATGAAAATGAAATTGGCTCCCCAAACTTTATATAGCAATTAATTTCTTCATAAAACCTTTATATGCTGTCATGTGGGTACAACTGTGTATTTTCAGTAGGCCTAAAAGGATAGCATTTATCAATAAAACGTTCCTAAGTACCAAAATGAATTATACTTTGTATTGCTAAATCTAAAAGTTGGTTTATTTTAAAAAAAGAAAACTCTGAAGCTGAGGTTTCTAACTTTACCAAAAATGTGGTTTCCTTGCTGTCTGTGTTTCATTTCCCTTGCTTATTTACCAAAGGATAAACTAGTCACATTTTTCCCTGGCTTTGCTTGGTTATAATTTTTTTAACCTAAGAAACAATTTCATTTTGGACTTTGATAATAGGAGACCCTGACTTTAGGTTAAGACTCATTTTACTACTTTAAAGTTTTACTTATTTTAAAAATGCAGTAGCTAAAATTCAACTGACACACTCAAAATACCAAAATAGAGGTGAGAATGGCAGCAGAGTTTGTTAGCTAAATTCTAACTCTTAAGTAATGAGTAAATAGGGATTTTTTTTTTTTCTTCATAGCCCCCTTGATGTCATTTTAAGAATCTTCACTAAAGTAAGGTTCAGATGCTCTCAGGGAACATCCTCAACTAGCTTGAAAAGTTTTTTACTCCACTAATTATGTAGAGTGTATGTGAACTATCCAGCCTGAGTTTCTAGGCAAAATAATCATTATTTTTTTATCTTGGTGGAAAAGTAGCCCAGAAGTTAGGTCTCTGCTCCCAAAGGAAAGAAGAAGGGTTAACTTGACACAGAGCAGAGTCCCAAGTCAAGGACAAGGGCTCTTTTTACTGCTACTGTTGTAGTATCAATAACCAAACAGAGCAGGTGGTTTTGCAGAACAAACCTCTACATTTGGGAATGAAACAGAGAAGCAGAGAAATTTCTTTCATTTAAGTATACCTTCAGAACCAAGAATTTTCTAGAATAAAAAATAAAATCAGGCACCTGAAAGAGAAAAATATAAAAAGACATAATGTGAAGTACCACTGTCCCTATTCCTTAGGCTCTCTCAACATGGAGTCCCCCAGACTTTGCCAACTGGCATTTCTGAGATTCAAAGTACTGAATCTGGGTGCCCAGGGCTTTTCTAGGCAGAGGATTGCATCAGAAAATGGAAATAAATGTTGGCTTTGCCACTTGGGCAAGTTACTTCACTTGCCTGGACGTGGACTTATGTATCTAAAGCCCATGTTCCTTTCTACATTTTCCCCATCTTGTCAGACTAGAGGGCAAATAACTTACACATCTAATCATACAACACTTAAATTTCTTTGATAAATCAAATGCTCATAATTGCCTTCCAGTTACAATGGATTACTTTTATTGTTCTACTATGCAATTCTTTTGCTAGCGTTATTTCTGTCAGTCTAGAAGCTGACCTGTAAAACAGAATCCAGCAATAATTAATATAAATAACATTTATCTGTTATAGATATTGAACTGTGCCAAAATTGTATACACAAGTTTTTAAGCATTTTATTATTTTTTCAGTCTATTCCTAATGATCTGACAAGCTTTGTTTTTCAAATTCAAAACAAGACTATACGTCTAATAAGAGATCCTTGAAGCGGGGTGTGTGTGTGTTTATAAAATGACAGGAATGAGTTGGGTGATTTCCCACAACTAAGTTTCAAATTGTAGAAAATAAATGATTAAAATATTTCTCATATATATTTTAGGAAATTATATATTTATATATATGTTCCTATTTTTAGGAAACAAAAATATAAAACAGCAAGTATAGGCAAAACCTTGAAAATACACCAGCTAAATAAATAAACGTTACTATCTAGTGCTATAAGGTAGGAAGACTCTACCTTAATTCACCCACATATGAACATGGTTTCAGTGGTGTAAAGCAAAAGAATGTTTCTTTCTCACAAGTTGGCCAAAGAAATATTTCTGAGTTCTTTCTCCCTCTGCCAATAGAATTAAAGTATCAAATTAAAATAGCCAAACTTCTGCTGATAACTGAAGGTATCAGTCTGTCTTCATGCTGCTGATAGAGACATAACCTAGACTGGGCAATTTACAGAAGAAAGAGGTTCAATAGGACTTACAGTTTCACATGGCTGGGGAGGGCCTCACACTCATGGCAGAGGGCAAGGAGAAGCAAGTCACATCTCACATGGATGGCGGCAGGCAAAGAAAGAGAGTCTGTGCAGGGAAATTCCTCTTGTTAAGACTATCAGATCTTGTGAGACTTATTCACCATCACGAGAACAGCACAGGAAAGACTTGCCTCCATGATTCAATTACCTCCCACTGGGTCCCTCCCACATCTGAGAATTCAAGATGAGATTTCGTGGGGACACAGCCGAACCATATCACTGCAATAAGAACATGAAAGCCAGAATTTAGACTTAACATATAGGAAAGAAGGAGACATTACAGATTTTTAAAGAGAAATGAATTTGAAAAGGACCTACTGTTGAACCATTAACCTGAAAGCAGTCTCCTTCACCCCTGGCTAAGATTCAAGAGATATATCAAAATGCTGTCCTAACTTAGGGATAGCCCAGAATGTTTTCAACCACAAGGACAGAATCTTCCAAAGGCAAACATTGCAGTACACCATGAGAATTTTCCAAACATCATGTGCCAAATGCCCCAGAGATTCTGAAATGTTCCCTCTCTCCCTTCTTGCCCCACAGCCTCAGAAGGGACCACTGTTATTCTTGAAAGTACATTATATCGTTAAGTATGTAAGGTTGAAGTCTTGCCATTCACTAGTTTAGTGCACAGGAAGCAGCTTGTCACTATCGGCCCTGTCATTCTAGGCAGCTCACTTGGTGTTCCCAGATCTCTTTTTTTTTTCACCTGTAAAGTAAGGGCAGTAGAACTAAAAAAGGGTTAAAGTATTTTCCAGTTTTAAAGGTACAAAATTCTATGATTTGTCAGGGTTATAAGATTAGAGGATGAAAGATAAGCCCTGATCTGTGCTTCGTAGACTCTAGCCTATATTGATTTCTATAAGAAGTCATTTGTTGATGAAATTTGTGAAACTGTCTAGATAGTGAGCAATACACAAAATTATCTGCATATGTATTTCATTTGGGGGTTTTTGGTGCTCTACCTAGATTTAGCACCTAGCTGTACAATTGAGGGCTGCATATTTCTTCGTTTTTAAAGATCTGTCTTTAGTTGAAAAGAAAATGTTCAAACAATACCTCTCAGTGGGCTAGAAAATAATATTAATTTCCCTCATTCTTTTATACACCAGACTATTAACAAACATCAGTATAATATGTTTCCTTATAAAAACATTGTTTTTAAAGATTAGTAAAGATTAATATTAGGAAATATTTAAACTAAAAAGAAAAAAGCTGATTTTAATTTAGAACTTTACAGTTTTCCATAAATGTATGTCATTTATGAACATAATTTCTACTTTGTTGGATTCCTTTTCTGAAGTCATTTATATAAATGTATTTTATTGAACAATCAGCAATCAAAATAAATTACTCGTTGACTTTAGACCTCAAAATCTCTGCAATTATATAAAAAACTCTGCAATTATCAATCAAAATTCAATATTAGATTATAAATTTCTACAGGGCAAATGTCATGCAGCATTACCTTTTGTATGGTTCAAGGAATCCTGTACATCATCACGCAAGCATCAGATGCTTCACAACCTGCTTTGTAGTAAGTTGCACTTCCCTGTTATCTTAGATATCCAAAAAAAAACACATTTTATGGACTGGTTACTTACTGTGATGGTATGTACTACTGTTTGAAGTAAGTGTCCTGACTAGGACAGAATTCTTTCCAGCTGATTTAAGTGAAGAGGCTTTAATAAAGTAACCAGTTACAAAGGTGTAGGCACTGTGAAAGAAACAAGGGATAATGATGATAGGCAAGCAATAGACAGGAACTGCTGCCAGTCCTTGAGCTTAAAGAAGATGGAGAGGAAATATTATTTTAGGGATGTCAGTGATAGCCAGAGTCCTGGAGGAGGGGTCACCCAGTAAGAAGGGATACAGCCACGGCCAGAAATGTGTCACTGAAACATAAAAGAGGAGAGGAGGAAATATCCAGAGTTCTCTCACCTTCTGTGTGCTGATCTAAGGACTCCATTGTCCCATTGACAAAACAAACTCCAAGTCTTCTGTTTAAAAAGGACTGGTGATTCACAAATGCCAGCACAGAGCTGAACAGAGAAGGGGAAAGAATGGATCTGGGGGCCAATCGAAGGAAATCCAGTATAGCAAATATTGCACTGCCCCCAACACATTACATTTTCTGCTAATACTAATTCATAGAAAATACTTTCTTTTTGTCAAAATTTGCTTAACAGAGGCAAAATTTTTCAAATAGAAAAGACATCAGGTCAAATTATATTTCATAATAAGAGGCACAGAGGACAGCAAAAGGATTAGGGAAATTTTGTTGGGAAGTAATTAAAATAATAAGCTAGAAAGCAAGAAATATGCTTCTAGGAGTCTGGGAGCAGGAGTAAAGGAAAGGAAGTCAGGTTGGGTCAACACAAAGGATGCAACCAAAATCTCCACACAGTAAGGAAAACCTAGAAAAAAGGATTGTGCCAGGGACATAAAACAGGAAAAAATCAAGTCTTAATCGTTCATGAAGCCATAAATAGAAGTCACATTTTCCCTTAGCTCTTGTTGTAGAGAAAAGGAAAATCAAAAACAATTTTCAGGGGTTCTTCTTTCTTTTTCAATATCTCTCTTTCCAATACCTGGTTTCTGAGTCCTAAGATAACTATATTTTGCCCATCATTAATGATAAACTACCTAAATCCATGTATTCAATCATGTATGCACGTTCTTTATGGGGTAAGTTTCTCTGCCGTATTTATTGGAAAAAACCTTGCACCATTCACAATGCTTACCTACCATATAGTAAGCACTCAATAAACATTAATTGAATAAAAACCAGTTAAATGTCTGTTGGCATGACATCACAACTTTAAAGAAAATATTATAATCTGCCAGTTAATTCACAAACATAAATGACTAATATCAGAATGTTTACAATTTTGCCATAGGTAATAGGACTAAGATACCTAGAGGGCCTGAAGTAGAAAGAGGCACAGATCCACAAAAGGACAGCTGGGAACACAGAAAACAAACAAAACTCTTCAGAGACTTCACAACTTTGTCAAGGGAAGGTTCTGTTTACCATCAGCTGGGAGGGGACAAACAGCAGCTTTGTGAAAATATGTTTGTTGTGTTTACTGCCAAGATGCAAAGTTCAGTTCCAGGAATTTGTGGTGATTTATTGTATGTTTTAAACAATCTATACAGAATTCTTTTTTTGTTTCAAAAGATCATTTTTATCATCTTGGCCATGTTTCCTTCCTAATAACAGATCATTAAGTCTGTTTGAAAGTGAGGCAACAGAAAATTAACCTTGGTTTCAAACTTTGAAAAAAAATTGTTTAAGCAACCTATGCTTTGAAATATCACAATACTTTATGGGAAATTAATATTAGAACACAGAAACCCAGATCAAATTATAAATCTACTTTTCTAGAAAGTCTCATCAATTTTCTAGAGGCGAACTTATAAATTCAGATTCTATTAAACAATTGGCTCTCCTGAAAATATGGGGTATTCATTGCTTTTTGATTGTGTTCATCTCAGAAGCATTGATAAAATATCCCCCTTTTGCCAAGCATATATCAATATTTATTTTGGCTAACCAGCTGGTATTTAATAATTCAACACTACTTTATTACTTTTCCCTGGTTTATCTATTACAGCGAAGATGTAATTGATTTTCCATAACTAAGCCCCTAACCCTTTTTATCATTTCTACTCTGCCATCTTAGACATATTAGAATAATGAGTGGCCAATGGTAAGAAGGGGAGTAGGAAGGAAGAAAAAGAACATAAACAGGACAGATGTTTCAAAAATTAGGGTAGTAGCCTAAGGTCTATCACAGGAGTTCCAAATTCTGGTCTACCATGGAGTGACCTGGGAATCAATTTATTCATCTATAAAATGCATGTGCTGGATTCAGTTATAGCTAAGATTCCCACTGGTTCTGAAGCACTGCATGCTACTATCTGTGGGATAACACCGCTTTTCTGTTCACTTGAAGCTCCTCATTTAAAAACAATAAGGTATCACTCCTTCATTCATCCAAATGTGAGTGATTATGAGCATCATTTCTAGCTGCAGCCTGGGAAGTGCACAAGTCCTAACAATGCCTTAAAACTGGCATGATCTGTGTCCAGGAGGGAAAAATGGGCTGCAACACATACTCACAAGGCCTGCACCACAGGCTGAAAAAATTAGGCCTCCATATGTCTAAATTTTTGAACAGCCTGCCTGACTTTTGACCTGACTTAGCATTATTTGAAGCAGCGTACTGACACTGCCAATAACATCATTCATAATAGGGCACACATCTTATAACTGAACCACAGATAGTGTTGAGCAACATAAAGAATCCAGGCAATACATATGTACAATGTAAACTGCTAAAACAGAATAGCTACTGAAGGATCTGCTAGTACGTACACTGATTGCTTCTCTGAGGTTGAAGAGCCAGGTTTTAGGATTCTTCAATGGCTGCAGCCATGGTCTCGTTTTAAAAAGCCTCAATCATTTCTCAAGACATCACATGTAACAAAAGGCTGCATCTATTTCTGTCAATACAGAGCTAGCCTAATAGTGGTAGATATGTTTAGGGCATAGAAATAAAGTATGCCTTCCTGAGGTTGGATAAAAGAGAAAAACAGCCTTTGAGAATTAGTAGGTACCACTCTAATCTGAAGCTTGTACTGTCCTTTTCAATCCTAGCAAAGAAACAATTAATAAAGGAACCCATTAAGACCTGATTATTGCAGCTAAAAAAGGAAGGTAGAATTTCAGTCCTTTGAAGTAACTGAGAATGATTCAGGCCTCATTACAGAGATATAATCTACATTCATACATTTATGTTAGCGATTCAAATCTATTGGGAGAGATTGAATTCCGTTAAATAGTGCATCTTTCCTGTGGAACTTTTCTCAGGCTTTCTCGGGCTAACCTAAGAGGTGACCTAACAATGCAAAGTAGTGGGGTATTTAGGGATTCAGCTGTGCTGTAAAAGAAAGGCTGTACAGAAAAGAAAAAGAAGAATGAGATATAATCTAAAAAGCTATGTCAGCTTTTCCTTTGGGCTGTTTTGTAAATGCCCTCTTGTCATCACGCTGTACAGAAGAGTGGCGAAGGGGCTCTAGAACTTTCAAACACTGCACCTGCTGCAACCAGATTTTAATATGAAAGTTTAAAGACATGTTTTCCCTCATTTCAGACAGAAAAAAAGAGAAACTCCTAGCTAAAAGATCTGAATAGCTTCTTCTACTGGAACATAAAGTTGGTAGATTGTGTGTGTGAGAGAGGGAGAAAGAGACTCGCTTTGGATTGGAGGGGCACATGTCTAGGGTGAGTTTAACAAAAATTTTTAAACCCCAAGGTGGCATCAATAGTGTTGGTTTCTATTGTAGAGAAACCCCAAAATAATAACTTCCTGTGTTTTGTAACTTTTCACAGCAGAATCTTTATTGTTTGGTTTCACCAAACATAATTTTTTTAAAATGTAGTTTTAATTAGTTGTAAATTCAAACATTTGGATTCTTCTGGACCATTGGCCTGAAATGCAAATCCACGGGAAACACTACACTGTCTTTCAGGCGTTTGTCCTCTCAGGTATAAAACTGTGAACTAAAACATTGAAATTAGCACTGTTGGTTAATTTTTCAGTATCCTAAAGAAAAAGACTTGTTTGATGGATGCTCTTTATTTGCTTAACTTTCCAATTAATATCTACAGAAATTACAGCTAATTATATTAAACTTAAGAACCCTATTGTAATGTTCACCACATTGTTGAACTCTTCTAAATAAGCATGGCATGAATTATAACTAATGCAAGTAAAATCCTGATTCTAGTATTAAATGATTCTATTTCAAAGGATTTGAATGCACAGAAAAATATAAGAACATTCATGTAAACTCATTTTTCAAGTCACTAAATACTTAATTGAGCAATCATTCCTAATGCTCATCTCTAGAGCTATTTTTTTATTTCTTTGCATTTCTCTAGTTCACCACCAACATGGAGGTCAAACACACATTATAGGGATCCTGGCTTGTGTGAACACAGACTCTTCTAATTAGTTCCCTCCAAATTACAGTTGCTGTTGTTAAACTCCCAGTTCACCTTGAAGTGTTTCTCTATCTTACACTGGCAGCCTAACTTCAGTTTGGAACATATGAAATTACCATTTTTGTAGGTACAAAACCTTAAAATGTTGGCAATTTCATGGGCTTCAACAAAATACAAATGTCTAACTGTACTATGTGACATAGATACTTCATTCCGGTACATGTTTAGGCATTCCTTCTAGTTAAACGTTCCCTAGTTTAGAGTCATTCTTAAAGAAGTGGTCCTCTAGGAGTTGTTTCTTATTCAGATTGGGATGGATTATCACAGTATTTCCTTTTTTGTGCCTCTTAACTCTTGGCAAAGGCCCCCTAGCCTTGGACTTAGTTCTGTCAATACCTGGGCTGTGAGCTAGTTTCTGCGAGCAAGGAGGGAGTTGGAGTGGCTAAAGAGTGTGAAAAGGAGAGGAAGACTCCTAGAGCAGTGATATTGTAAAACAGAGCCCTTTAAACATAAAATGTGAAGATAGATAAAATTAAAAAAATAAAAAAATAAAAAACCTCCACTTTCTGACTAAGTGCAAAGGAAATTGCATAGAAAAGAAAACAGACAGCAGGGTATTCAGCCAAATTGTATGGTAAAATCTTTGCGGTCGCCATAAAGTGCGTTTCCTTTGAAGTGCACGCGTGATTCAGTGAAGGGCTCATGTTAGCAATTAGAAATCGGTTATTTGGGTCCCTGATTTCATTTGCGCCAAGAGAGAGGCAACTTTTAAGGGTGACGATAAATCTCCCTGAGCTTAAAAGGCAGAAAGGGCCAAAGTGTGAACTTTTTACTTCAGCAACGGAAGCGAGAAATCAGTGATTCATTAAAGAGGAGACCTCCTTGGAAGCTGGCAGCAGAGGAGGAAAGGACGCTAATTATGTCTTCCTTTTCTGTGCTCGCTCCGATCAGTTTATAATCTGCTGCTCTGGAGGGTTTAAAATCCTCAGCATCTTCTGCTTTCTCCCAGCCCTCTCCTCTTCTGGGAGTGAGAAGGGGGAAAAAGTCAGCCAAGCATCAGGCTCCAGGTGGCTCTCAAGTACTTCACTGCCAAAAGAAATGGGGGTGGGGGGAGGAGATCCTACGCTGGAAAACAAGTGAGAAAGGGGCTCCCCAGAAGGTATTAGTTCAGGCTGGAAGACAGCAAAATTCGGAAAGCTGGAGGATACCGTCAGCGCCGTGGCCCGCGCTGCGAGCAGGACGCTTTAGCAACGAATTTGCCAGAGCTAGAGGCGCCGGCGGCGGCTGCGGCCGCAACAGCGGCTGCGAGGAAGGGACCTGGCAGCCCCCAAGCTGGATGCAAAGGCATCGCGCTCTCTCCTCGCTCCCCTGCTCCCCCACCCCCTTCTCTGCCCCTTTCACCCTCCCTCTCCCTGGCGTTCCCAGCAGCGTAGGGTTTCAGATGTCCCACCGCCGGTTGACCCCCTCCCCCCTCTTCTCCACCCCTGCAAATGAGGTTTGACCAGCAGAGGCAGAGCCCACCTCTGGCTTAGAATCACTGACATTTAGACTCCAGGTTTCAACCTGTTTACAAGCGGACTTTCCAAAGGAAGGGGGTGGGGGATAGGGCCATACAAAACATCAGCCGCCGTCCCCCAAAACAAAAAGTGGCTTTCGGCAGCCTTCAAATCGGCAGGCACCACTAAAAACAGAAGGGAAGAGAGGGAAGAAAACAACGGCGACTGGGTAGCTGCCTGCAGTTCTGACAACTCCAAAGGGATACACTTGTAGAAGCGGCTCGCAGGCTGGGGCTCCGCAGAGAGAGGCCAGAAGGTGCCAACCGCAGAGGGGCGCAAATATCTCCCCCTATTCCCCACCCCACCTCCCTTGGGTTTTGTTCACCGTGCTGTCATCTGTTTTTCAGACCTTTTTGGCATCTAACATGGTGAAGAAAGGAGCAAAGAAGAGAACAAAGTAACTCCTGGGGGAGCGAAGAGCGCTGTGACCAACACCACCACCGCCACCACCAGCTCCTGCTTCTGCGGCCACCCACGTCCACCATTCACCGGGAGGCTCCAGAGGCGCAGGCAGCGGATCCCAGAAAGGAGCGAGGGGAGGCAGCCGGCTTTTCCAAGGAGTTATGGATGTTGGTGCATTCACTTCTGGCCAGATCCGCGCCCAGAGGGAGCTAACCAGCAGCCACCACCTCGAACTCTCTCCTTGCCTTGCACCAGGTCTTACCCTTCCAGTATGTTCCTTCTGATGAGACAATTTCCAGTGCCGAGAGTTTCAGTACAATGTGGAAATGGATACTGACACATTGTGCCTCAGCCTTTCCCCACCTGCCAGGCTGCTGCTGCTGCTGCTTTTTGTTGCTGTTCTTGGTATCTTCCGTCCCTGTCACCTGCCAAGCCCTTGGTCAGGACATGGTGTCACCAGAGACCACCAATTCTTCTTCTTCCTCCTTCTCCTCTCCTTCCAGCGCGGGAAGGCATGTGCGGAGCTACAATCACCTTCAAGGAGATGTCCGCTGGAGAAAGCTATTCTCTTTCACCAAGTACTTTCTCAAGATTGAAAAGAACGGGAAGGTCAGCGGGACCAAGAAGGAGAACTGCCCGTACAGTAAGTAACAAATGCGTGCTCCCCTCCTTCCAATTATCCACCCCCAGCCCACACGGGGGGGAAAAATCTCTTCCAGATGTGGCCAGCTAAATATTTACGTCCCCAACCCCTGTAAAATGATTAAGTGGAATACTTTCACACTAATTCACCACCCGCCCCCCCGCCGCGTGTATACATTGTGCTGCCGCATCCCCTCCCCTAAGCGCGCTCCCTCCACATCCCCCACCCCTTGCCGCCCTATACACCCCTTCCCTCCAGCCTGTCACTCGCCGGACCACGCAGGGCGCTCAAGAGAGTTGTTGCAGTGCAAAGATGCCCCTTTTCTCTCTCCACCGCCCTTCCCATCTCCTCCAAAGAGTTCTCTTTCCTTCCTTCTGGAAATGGCTCAAGTAAACACATTTTGTTTCTTTTCCCTGGAAATCTTGTTAAGAGTTTGGGACAGGCTCCTCAAGCTGAAAATAATCATCCGCTGTCAATTATAGGGGCTTTGTGGGAACTTTATTTAAGAAAGAAAAATCAATTCCACTCTCTCCCCACCCCCATCCCCTCACCCCAGCACCTCTAGATATGAGGGAAAAGCATTTTTCTGGTTTTGATTTTTGTTTTGTTTTGTTTTGCGTCCCTTATGTTAGTTTGAGTGATTGCAGTCCATGAAGTTAGCTTTTCAGGCACCACCGCTGCTATTTGTCTTCTGCCTGCCTTCTCTCTTGGTAACATGATGCTCATGTCTGCATTGTCAATAGCGTATGCACTGCTTCGTGGTGTCCTGTTGTACTGTTTCTTCTGAAACCTCTCATATTGCAGAGCCATACTACTACAGCATTGTAAACATCTGGGGCTGGATTCACACAGACCTCACACAAATTTCATTGTCATTCTTTTATTTTCAAAGTAAAAGTCATAAGTCTGTTTCCATGGCTATAGTTTATCCTACAGTGTGACGTTTTCTCCTCAGTGTAAATTATGCCTGGGATCCCTAGATTTTGTTCTTGCCTTTTCCCTCTCTCTTTCCTTCTTTCTCTCTTTCCCTTATTTCTTTCTTGCAGGGGTGTGGGCTGGTTGAGGGAGAGAGAACTAGAAGAGGAGGGGTGGATATTGTGTCTCTTCTTGAATCAACCCAGCAAAGCCAGATTACTCTGTTGACTTCCTTTCTCAGTTATTTTCAAGTGGCGAGACTTATTCATCCCCTGTTGATTATTATGTGAAAGGAACCCAAGACTTTGTAATTGCACACTGAAAACAGTAGACAATGATGTTTAAACATCTTTAGTGACCATTTGGCATTATCTCAGTGGTAAATACCAAGTCACCTTTAAAGGAGACATTTTTGTGTTCGTTTTTCAGGAATTCTAAGCATAGATTGTCAGCTAACTTAAATACATGAGTCAAGCATTTAAAGATTCCTTGGTTTAGAAAGTACCAAGTACTAATGGGAATGACAGTTGACCAGAATTTAGCATTTTATTTTTGAATACAAATTTACAATAATTAAGAATTTAGTTTTCTTCTGTGGGGATGCACACACACTCAACATTAACTTCTGTTCCTCCTCAGCCACTGGTTCTATTTACTAAAATTCACAATATGTTTATAAGTAATAAAAATACGTGTAGAAGTGCTTTTAAAGTGTTTCATTTTAAGTTTCATACTAGAGATAATTAAGTACTACATTACCTGATTCATAGAAAGTAGCTGAAATAATGTCATAATGATGACAATTATTTTTGCTTAAAAGTCATTTGTTACTTGAATTCATTAGATCCTATGTATATAACCTTTAAGGTTTTTGATTAAAATTTTAAAAACTTTATTTTCTTCTAAAATAAAATAGTTGTGATGTCATTCAGTTAGGAGGATGGGGAAGAAGCTATCCAAACATTGGGCTAGACAGAGTGAGCTGGAAATTTTAAAAAAAGAAATTCCGATGGACTGATTTCTTATTTTTCATGGAGGAAACTCAAAAGAATATGATAAAGTTTCAGAGTGTTGTCTTTGAGCAAACTTTTTTCTTTTTAACAAATGTTTGTGCTATACTTTAAAGGTCTTTATAATATGACTTAAGAACAAATCTGCTGTTTTAGTTAACAAAACTTAAATTGCTATTTTCTAGAATCATAATCACGTGTGATTAGTTGCATAGTAAAATGATTTCCACAGTAGAAACTGAATTTCATCTTTACAATAAGAACTACCTGCAAAGAAGAAAAGTATACAATATATATTGTATAAAAGGAGTGTAGAAAAGTTCCATCCTAACTGTCCAAAATTTACTAATATTTTATTTTCTGTGTGATAACATATATTATTTGTTATAATGACAAGCTAAATATCTTATATGGTAATGCAATCTTAATCAATGTTTAAAAGTGAAAGGGGAGGGGTTCACTCCACTAAATATTGTCAAATCATAAATAATTTAGGCTTTCCAAGAACATCTGTGTCAAAACATAGCAAGTGAAAATTAGAGATTGAAAAAGCCTTAATTTCACATGTGGCCAGGTAGTCTAAATGCTGCTACAATTTCCAACTGGACTGATTCAGCTGAACTACATGGTAGTAAGATATTGTCTAAATGTTGCATAATAACATGTGAACAAATTTTTGCCATGCCTACAGGGTAGCCAGCCAGCCGTCCACTAAATGGTAGCTTGTTAAATACTAGGATCTCTAACCTCTGAAGAGTGTCAGTTCCCTTTCCATAAACCACATTTCAGTAATATTTGCCTAAACAAGTTATTAATTATTCTCAGTACACAAACCTGTTCTTTTGAGGTTTGCTTATTTGAAGATTAATTTTCTTTGTTACTTTTGACCCTAGTATTATTGCTGCTAAATTGCAGTAACAGCTTATCTAAAAGGTTATATGTTTTTGATGTCCTGGATAATTAAAAAACTGTTTTATTGGCTTTTTGCCAGCAGAATGCTAGCAAAAGGAAAGTAAGACAATCATCCATAAGTATTGCAAAATCATTTTTAACTTCTACTTTCCAAGCTAGTTCCCAGAAATTAGATGGTTCTAAAAAGACCGCATATACTAACAAAGTTCTTCTCTATATGGGTGATTATTATAATTTTTGAGGGGGGGTGCTATACTTTTTGTTTGCTTCTTTGCCATGATATGAGAGTAGAATAAAGAGAACAGACATGAATTATTTTTCTCCTGCTAGAAGTCTGAGAAAGCTTGAATAATTTAGAATAGCTGTGGTGTATCTGTCACTAGATATGTGTAGGCTCATTGAGGTTTTTGTTTTATCATTCTTTACATCTTGAGCTTTGCCCTTGAAACCTTACCACTCGGCTTTAGTTCTGACCTCTTAGAAAGGCTGGATACAGCTGTTAGGTATCCTTGCAAGTTGGACCAGTTGACTTATTTCTGGATGTGAGTAAAACAGCTGTGAGTTTCTCCCATGGTTGTCATTTGTAGAAAAGAGGGATCTAGTGAAAGGAAAATGTATACCTAAACTTGAGACAATTAAGAATAGATATTCCAAAAAGGGAAAGTCACAAAAAAGGCTCCTGGGCCTTTCTAGGAAAGAAGTATGGAAGGCAATAGAGAAATCAATATGTAAAGAGTATGCTGTATATGCTTTCTCTTTAAATACACACTTCATTCAATAATCATAATAGTCCTATAACTATCAATATTTTTCAAATTTGAAAACTAATACTGAAAAAAGTAAATTGTCCAAGGTCATTCAACTAGAAATGGGCAGAACCAGGATTCAAGCCCCAGCCTATTGGTTATATCTCTCCTTTCTTATTGTACCTTTCTGCTACTTCCAACATTAATATCAATTTATTAGAATTGGACACTTGAGATCTCTAAAAAACAAATTATCCAGATCCTTACCTGCTTCTTGCTGGGAACACCGTTCTCTAGAAATAAATTGGAACAGAAATAAAATGACAATTGCAGAAAAACAAATACATTAAACGTGTCATTGCAGGTGGCCACATGATATCAAACAAGGCTAGTGTATTCACTAGGTAAACTCTCTCTTTTGATATTTGGGAATATAATTGCTTACGGATACATACAAAATACACATGCATCAATCTCACTTATGTTAACAGAGGTCATTAGGAATACATGACTATTTAAGAAAAATCCATGAATGTCATTTTATATAGTAATTTTTTATAGCTGAGGGCCAAATGTTTAATTGTTGCCTTGTGTAATAAAATAATTTGATTGTAAATACCTGTGAGAAGTTGGACTGTTGTAGAAACTTCTGATATATGACTCTAAAAAGGGCGACATCTTAGAGACTTAAGCTATACATATTAAGAAAATTTTAAAATAAACCTGCAAATCAAAAGGTACTTTACCATATAAAATGACAGATTATTGTCTGGGATTATTACTTTTTAACCAGGACTAGAGCTTATTGTAGGAAGCTAAATGAAGTGAGAAAAAATAATTGTTGAGGAAAATAGGAACTCAAAAATTATCCCCTAATAATGACACAAGAGTTTTCTGTGAAGAAAAACTATAGACAATTTATGGCTTCCACTGGTATCTTATTTCAGTTGTGGTTGTTTCTAGAATTTGGTTGCATAATTTATAACCGGCAGCATTTAATCATGAGCATTGAGGATTTATGAAGGTGGAAGACACTGTATTTA